CGATACTCCGGGCTAATAATAATATATTCCTCTTATACAGTGCAAGGGCACAGTATAGATGAGTCGAAGGCAAAGCTAAGATTCCATCTATAATAGAAGATTTCAAATAGGGACAAGAAAAGAGGAAGGGAATTAGGTACAAGCGTACAAACCCGAATAAATACCCTAATCGTACAAGCGACAGCAGAACCTACATACAAGTCGCTATCAGCCAATCCCTTCACTCGTATCCCCTTCACCTACAGGATAAACCCCTATACGTACTAGAGTCTACCCTATAACCAATTTTAATATAGCTAATTAAATAACTCGCATCCTATAACCCGTATTATACCTAAAACCTCCATATACCTTATTCTATCGCATATAGTACCCAAGCCCAAACCTAATCTACTAATCTACTAACGCCGTCACATCACCCCCCCCTACATAAAAAATTCGTCTACGAATCTTACTAAATAATTATATAGAACGTTTATTTCTTCCTTATAATACGCTATAAACGTCTTAATCCTTCCGCTTTAAAATATTCGTTATTATCGTATTATTCCGTATCTTTATTTAACTAATTTATTAATCGTCAGGGCGGGCCTAGGGCATCCGGGTAAATTTTATAAAAGTCCCAAAGCGCCTTCAATATATACTTAAAATTGGAAGCAGAATACTACTTTAAATCGGGGTCCTAGCCTCTCCAATCCGCCTAATAGAAAAATTTTCCGTTAATTATCTTAGATACCGTTACTTTATTAACCTCCCACTCGGGGTCTCCGTCCTCGTCCGTATTAATTAGGCCGGGGCATTCGAATATTTACCCCGGGAGCAGATTATTATCGTATTTCTATAAATAGTCCGCATAAAAAACGTTAGTACCCTTCTAACTCTTTAGCAACTCTAAATAGTAGGAATACCTTACTTTCTTAATAATTTTATAATAATTACAAGTATTAGGGAAATCGAATTTATTATTAAATTAAATAATTATAGACTAAAACCTCTTAATAATAATAACCCTATTTCCTAATTTAAAATCGGATTCCCTCCGCTTTTTATTAGCCTACGCCACCTATTATTCTTATACTTTCAATATAATTTCTCTAACGTATTCAACATACCTCCAAATACATTAAGTATAATCCTACGCCTATTCCCAGATTAACTACTCCGTCCACAATATACTAAGGTCCTAAATACAGGTATCCTAATCGAAAAATATTCTTATCGGGTATCTAAATATAATTTCGTAAGGAGATAGGCCTATACTATTTTAAAGAAGGCTATTCTATCCTACATCTAAAGCTAGAATAACTTCGGATTAATTATTTTAATAATAATTTACAAATAGTTAAAACCGTTAATTAATATAAATATTTATAACCTCCGCCTAGCCCGCCGTCTAATTATATTCCGCGGTAACTAGCTTCTATTTCGTTTTCATTAATTTCGATATTTCGTCTATAAATACGGAGGTAAATTACGGCCCTCTATCAGAGATTACTTCTTCTAATATACTATAACTATAATAAGGTCCCTCGTAATATATCCGAATAATATTATAAACCGTAGCACTTTCTATATAATGGGTAACCTAAAATAATTTTAATAAACGGTCAACCATCACTAATATATTATCGAAAGTATATTTATCCTTTAACATTTTCTTAAAATTTATAATAATAAACGTCCACTTCTAGGCTAGCGGAGGAATCGGGTAAAATAAACCTAATATTTTATCTTTAAAAATTTTACTAACTTTATATACTATATAATTTTTAACGAAATAATCGATATCCCTAACTATACGTAGCTACTAGTATCGTATTTTAAAAATCGTACGGATCTTATTCCTCCCCAAGTAGGCCGTAGTTAACGTCGAATAGGATTTGTCGATAATACGCGTACGCAAATTATTTAATTTAAGGCTAATTAGGCGGTCCTAATATACTAAGAATCCGTTAGCTCATATTACAAAATTAGGGTCCGAACTGTAAACGCGGATACGATACTCCTTTAAAAACTCATCCTTTCGATTAGCCTTTATAAACGTATTTACCAACTTATACCCTTCCGGTTCAACCGAGTTCAATTTTAAACCTTCTTTATCCAATATTATAATTAGGACTAATTCTTTTGTAAGACTTTTATCCGTTGAAATCGAGGCAATTATAAATAGTTCGACCCCTCCTTCTTTAACGGGTTTGAATATTTAAAATATATAATATGTATCCTTCTTATCCTTTTAAATCTTAAAATCCTCGGATTTACGGGAAAGTACGTTAATTACCGTATTGTTTATACTAAGTCGATAAGTAATTTCGAAGTAGTATTAAGATAAGAACTCTACCTATCCGGTTTATCGAAGGTTAAGGAGGCGCTTAGTATTAAAGTATTTAAATATTTAATAATCGGTAATAATTATAAATAATTTATTCTATTAGAAGCCGACGAATTCGAATTGCCACGTTTAGAGGGCCTTAATAACGGCGAATAACTCTTTATTATAAATAGGGTAATTATATTCGGCGCCCTATATTATCTCTAAAAAAAAAGTAATTAAATGCTATTCTTTTATATTTTCTTACAATTAAGATAGTATTCTTACTAATACTCTATTACTAGCGTCCGTTTTCACCCTCGTTTTAACGTCGTAGTGGAAATATTTTAATAGTAGGGCTTCTACGAATAATCTTTTAAATTCTTCGAAAACAGCTTAATATTTATTAATTTATATAAACGCTTCTCCTTTTCGTATTAAATTCGTAAGGGGACGCGCTACGCGACTATAATCTTTAATAAACTTTCAATAAAAATTATAAAATCCTAAGAAAAATTAAACTGTTTTTAAATTAGAAGGTATAGCCTACTCCTTAATAACCTCCACCTTTTCTAAATCGACGGAAATACCGTCTCATCTTATAATAAAGCCTAGGAACTTCATTTTAATTACATAGAATTTATACTTCTTAAAGTCTATTTACAAATTTATTTCCTTTATGCGACGGAAGACCTTTTTAATATAATTAGTATATTTATTAAAGATATCCGAATAGATTCAGATATTATTAATATATATTATGTAAAAATGGCCCAAATATTCGCCAAGGACGGAATTAATAAAGCTCTAAAAGTCAGCGAAATTATTAATAAGGTTAAAGGGTAGTACTTTATACTTAAAGGCTCCTATATTTATATAGAAAGTAATTACTTCTTCGTTTTCTAGCCTTATACGAATCCGGTAAAACGCTTATCGAATATTAATTTTTATAAACTATTATACTTTTACTACTTTAGCGAAGGTTTCTTCAATTAAAGGTAATAAGTATTAGTCTGTTTATATAATAGCGTTAAACTTTCAATAATCGACGTAGAAACGGAAATTACTGTTAACCTTCTTAATAAATAAAATAAATATTACCTAAAGTAATGAATTCGCTTCGATAAATCCCTTTAATAAATTTTCTAAAATATTTTTTTATATTACCTCTAATTTATTAAGGGATATTTTATATAAGAAATTGTATTTAAATTCCTCTAACCGATAGCCGTCGTCGAATTCTATTTTATAATTGTACGGCTAATACTTAAGCAACATATTCGAATCGAATTTATTAAAGACCTTAATTTCGTTATAGTATTTTAGGGGTACCGTACGGAGGGTTTCGTCGCAGAAGTCCTTTTTGTCGTAGGGAAGCTGTTTTTAAGTAAGGTTATTGATAATTTGTTTTTATTAAATAAATCGGTCGATTTCGAAAATATTAATTAAATAAATAATTTAATTTTCTTTCTTAACGGAGCGTATAAAGAGGTCTCTATCTAATATATACATTCGGATAGGATAATACTTATATTAATCCGTACTATTGTATTTTAATTAATAAGTCTTTTAGGCGTTTAATCCCTATTTTTTATCGACGGACTATTCCTAGTAGCGGGGTTATAATTCGGGTTCTAAAAATAATACTATAAAGTAAGTAAAGTTAACTAAATTACGTTCTATTTTATTTAACGGATTTATGTTTTTAAAGATTATAATAAAATTCTAAAGAAAATAGTAGGGACGGGTATAATTAAGTTCGCTAATATCGTTACGGGTATATTAGAAGTCAATTAGTATACTTAGAATATTTTTAAATCCCTAATTGGAAGTAGTTTTGAATTTGAAAATACGTTTCTTAATATCCTTTTAATATTAACGGGTTTTATATTTATATTGATTTTGTATGTTAAGGTTAAATTCTTTTTTACAATAGTTAGGGAAAGGTTAATTATCGAAAATATGTTCGGTAAAAGTATATCCGTTCGTAAAACGAATAGCCGTTTATTTATTATTTCTCTTGTCCGTTCGTCGTTTATCTTTTCAATTTATTGATACGTTATAATATTCTAAATCCTTTTAGTAAGTAGGATTAATTAAAGTTAGTAAAATTTAAATTTCAAAGTATTTTAATTAGTCTAGGTTTAGTTTCTATTCCGAGGGAAAGAATAAACGACGATTTATATAATATACTTAAATATTATAAAGGTCGAACTATTTTCGGCTAATAATAATATCGTACGTTATATTAATTATAATAAAATAATTGGGTGGCGTAATTCGATTTTGGATTTTTAAAGCGGTTTGGATAATTTCTTTAATATTCTAATTTATTTTTCCTTAGTAATTGTTGATCCCTCGACTAGGAAATTGCTCGTAGATTTTACTAATAGTCGTTTTTTTAGTTTTTCGGCAAAAACGTTACTAATAAATGAATAACTATTTACTCTTATATTAATTAAGACATTAAATATAAATAAAGATATTCTATTATTAATTAAGGTATATTGAATAAATAAGGGTTTTCCTCCTAAGAAAGGTATTAAATTAAATCCTTCCTTTCCTTTATATTTCTATTTATCCTCTTTCTATCATTTCATAACCGATACCTCCCTTAAGAAGGAGTTTAATTCACTTAGGGTAATTAATTTCCCTACATATTAATTAAAACTACGGCCGGGGCGGTTAGGGCTTCCGGTTTATTCTCGTAAGCTAAATAACAGTTAATGATAGCGGCGACGCAATTGCGATATTCGCGGTCGAAACGTTCCTTTTCGGGATAATCGTATTTAGTATAACCCTTTTCTTTATAGAGGAAGTATTTACCCTTATTAAATAACCGAATAGTCTCTTTATAGTAGTCGCTACCTTAATAAGTAGTATTTCTTCTACTACTTCTACTTCCGCTAGTAGGCTTAGGAGTAGAATTAAAACCGGATCACTTATTACCTCCGCCGGAATTATTATTCTTATTCGATTTGGAAATAATTTTATTTTCGTCGGCGATAATTTTTAATACTTATTTAAAACCGGAATAATTTGTATAGTATAACTTAAAAAAGAAATAAATAAATTATAATACTTCGTACCTATTTATTTCTTATATTCAATAGGAAGGCGTTGAAATATTTCCCGCTTCTACTTAATTTTAGGACGTTAATATTCGTTAACTATCTAAATAAATTTATTTATATAGAAATCGAAATTATTATTATTTTTTATTTTTAATTTAATAAAATTCTAGAACGTATTGTCCTCTTAATTAGGGTTATAATACTAACGCTATAAATAAGTTATTAAATTAGAATAGGTTTTAATTTAATCCGGGTAGGTTTTACGTAAATATAATATTAAATTATAGTAGGTATAACCGGCTAAACGATCTTTAATGTGTAGAAACTTATTATAATTAATCGGATAGTAATTTATGTTAATTTTAAATTTATTTTGAATTAAATTGTACTAAGCTCCGAAGGGAATATCGTCTTCCTTATTCTAATTATAATATTTAGCAGGTCGGTTTACTTTATATTATAGTAATAGGAGTTAAAATATTCTCCGTCGTTAGGATTTAATTTTGGGGAATAAGGTCGAAAAGCGGATAAAAGCCCTAAGAGGTACCTCGCTAATATCTTTCTTAATATTAGGAAATAATATTTCTTTAACCTTTCCTTTATTTTTATTCTTAATTACTTTTTTACTAATATTCAAATTAATAATAAAATCTTTTAATCCCTTAATAGTATCTTCCTTTTCTATAAAGGAATCCTTTAATTATTAAACTATAGCGGGGTTAATAGCGGGTATATTATATTAGTCGGCTAAAATAGGGACCCAATCGTAAATAATTTTAAATTTAATATTTAAATAAAAAACGAAATAATAAAACTCCAATACCTATTCTTTCTATACTATACTTATAATAAATAATAGTTTAAATTCCTAAAATATAGCCTAGGGGTCTCTATAGTATAATTCAACGAACTTTTCCTTAATTAAAAAATTAGAAAATGGAAAATTTAAAGAGGGGAATAAAATTTAAAAAGGGATATTAGAAATTAAATCGCGGATAAATAACTTGATAAATTCTTCTATCTTCTATTTTAAATCGTTAGTAACTTGGTACCTAATTAAACGAATATTAAAAGTCTTAATATTTTCGACCGCCATCGTAATATACTAATCGAATAGGTTAAAAAACAATTCGGGCTCCTCGTCGTCTTCTCCCGTATTAGCGACCGTATTGGCCAATACCTCGTCGGATTACTTCAATTAATAATACATATAATATAGGGACTTCTTATAAAGGATTGTAAATTTGCCGCAAGAGCGTTCCTCATTGGGATAAAGGCTATTATAACACTCTTTATTAAAACGTACGGCTTTACGCACATTATTTTTATTAATAAAATCGATAATTTAGTATTTAGGAATAGGTTTTTTATCGTTTACGACGACCTTCTTCTTAAATTTCAATTTAATAACCGTATCCTCCTCTTACAAAAGGTCGGGATCGGAAGAACTTAAGCCTTCTTCTCCGTCGCTATTTCTACCCTCCTCGCTAAAGAGGTCGTCGTCCGAAATATTATCGTTATAACGGTCATCGTTTTAATTCTCGATCTACTCAATACCTTTACAGCTACCGGCGCTATTACGTATCTAATATAGTAGTACTATCGTATTATTATTATAAATACTCGGTACCTTAAATTCTTATAACAGATTTTTTTAATTTCGTATTCGGTTTAGGATTTAACTTTCCTAAGTAATTATTAAGTTAATTTAAAATAATATAAGGGTATAGTATAAGTAAGTCGAAAGTGAAACTAAAATTCCATTTATAATAGAAGATTTTAAATAGGGAAAAGAAAAGAGGAAGAGAATTAAGTACAAACGTATAGACCCGAATAAATACCCTAATTATATAAGCGATAACGGGACCTATATACGGGTCGCTATTAGCCAATCCCTTCACTCGTATCCTTTTTACTTACAAGACAAACCCCTGCACGTACCAGGGTCCACCCTATAACCAGTCTTAGTATGGCCAATTGAATAGCTCGCATCCTCTAGCCCGTATTATACCTAGAACCTCCATATACCTTATTCCATCGCGCATAGCACCTAGGCCCAGACCTAGTCTGCCAGTCTGCCAGCCCCGTCACATAAAGAAGAAATCTTCTAATTAAGGGTTCGAATATTATTGAAATAGCCAAGTTTCAAATTGTCCTACTCCTATTAAATTCGCTATAAAGCGCTAATACCCTCGTCTAAATATTCTTATTTAGCTTTAGTAAAGAAATTAACTACGGTTACTTCTCTTTCTAATAATCTTTTAATTAATTTATTAAGAATTGTAGAGAGAATTTTAATATACCGGTATTATTTATCTTTTTAAGCCTTTAAGGAATCTAGGGGGACTTTATTCTCGGTAGGATAAATTTCTATAATATTATAATTATTTATAACGTCGATTATAGATGATTAGAAACGATTCTAGGCTTTATAGTTATTTCTTCCGTCCAATTTCGGACTAGTATTAACGTTAATGCCGGTAAAGGAAATAGGATTAAAAATAACGGAGGGTCCTATAATAATTGGGATAATAAGCGGAGTAACCCGGATTGTAGCCGGGCTACTTTTTATAATAGATTCGTTGTCTCTATTAAATTTATCCGGAATCGAAGCTTTTTCGAACGTTTAGGCCTCGATAGTTTGTTTACAATTATCTTCGTTATTATTTCTAGTATATAGAGCTATAACGTCGATAGGGTAATGTCGATTGGGTTGGTAGTTTAGTATATTGGGTAAGTAAGGATATTATTTGTATAGAAATGAGAAGATCTATATTGGAATAGAGATTCCGTTTGTATTTATAAATTTAATAGCAGCCTAGTAGTATTTAGGGATTTAGTTTCGGTACCGAAAATATTCCTATCGTTAGGCGGTTCGATTTTACTAATTATCCTTACTTCGTAGTCTTCTAATATTAGGGATAGTATCCTTAGTACTTCGAATATACTATCGCTTTCGGTATTTATAGGGTTCTACGGATTCTTATAGTTTAATAGGCGATTAATAATTCTAATTAGCCGCGAGAATTCGTCCTATTTTATCGTGTATATAGCGGTGGGAAGCTAAATAGGGCGCCCGGATTAGGAATGTTTATATTGATAATTACGTCGGTTATTACCCTTACCCGCTTCCGAAATGTTATTTATATTTATATTTAATATTAGATAAAACGAGATTAGCGGTCTAATCTTTGGAATGAAGGGATAAATACCCGATTTTTAATGTATTTTCCCATTTCCTTTGTGTTGTTTTAGTTGTTTTAAATACAAAGGAGATAGGATAAATATATTTATTCTAGCCGGATAGAATATAGGGTTAAAATTAGGGTATTATTTATTCGGAGAAACGTATTTGCCAATATGCTAAATTGAATGCGGTTTAGTGGCTTCTAGCTTATAGTATCGGTATAATTGCCGTTTAGCGAGAGCCAGGCTTATAATTGATTAGAATATATATAAAAGAGTGGGAGAAAAGCTATATTTATTTAATGAGAGAAAGTTAAATCTACGCGATGTAATTATCCCTTTTATGCCCGCTTGCCTTGTCTACCCTTGGACACCCTTGTTTACCCTTGTACCGGTATTTAAGCAGAGCTTCACAAGGCTGACATATAAGGCTCAACACTATGAGAATCCATGATGTTTGGTAGAACCCTGGCCAATTAGGGGGAAGCAGAACTATAGCCTACCTAGAGGTTTGCAATCCGAGGCATCTTTGGAAGCCTGGCCTCCAGAGCCAAGCATTAAACCCTAAGCTCCAACCCGTTATATTACCCCCTAACTCCCCCTCACCGAACGTAGAAAGATAATAATAAAAATTATTATATATAAAAGAAATCCCAGAATCTAGCGAGGATTCAACCCGGCGCAAAGTATAGCCACTAAAATCACGAATTTCCTATAGACAATAAAAAATCTCTAAGGGTCCCCAGAACCATTAATAAGCGGCCTCCTATCCGTACCGTATATAAGGGATCTATGAGGTATATACGTAGGTAGGCCTTGATGAAAGCTGTAATATTCGACAAAGACTGGAGGAAAAGAGAGCTCTAGTGCCAACTGGGTATCGAGCTTACAGTTAAATATAGGTGGTGGCATCGAAGATGCTAGAAATGCCAAGTGTGACGGCGCTAGCAGACTGGGTCTGGGTACTATATACGAGGCTGTCGGAATGAAATATATAGAGATTATAGGTATAGTACGGGCTAAGGGATGTAAGCTATTTAATTAGCTATACTAAGATTGGTTGTAGGGTGGATCCTAGTACGTATAGGGTTTATTTTGTAAGTAAAGGGGATACGAGTAAAGGGATTGGCTAATAGCGACCCGCATATAGGTCCCGCTGTTACTTGTGCGATTAGGGTATTTATTCGGGTTTGTACGCTTGTACCTAATTTTCTTCTTTTTCTTTTTTTTTTCCCTATTTAAAATCTTTTATTATAAATGTAATTTTAACTTTACTTTCGATTTACTTGTATTATACTCTTATATTATTTTAAATTAATTTAATAATCATTTGGGAAGGTCAAATTCTAAACCGAATACGAAATTAGAACGGTTTAGTATAAAAATCTAAAGTATTAAATATTTATAATAATAATACGATAATATTATTACATTTAATATATAATAATAATAGTAACTAATTATAAAAGTACTAAATAGACCGAGAATAATAACGATTATTACGACGAGGGTATTTCTAATAATGATATTTTTAACGACGTAATATAGGAAATATATAATAGATAGATAGAATATATACTCGCTTACCTTAGAAGGCCTACCTTTT